AGGGTTACATTCATCTTTGGCTTCCCAGCCTAGATATGATCTCCTTGAAGATGAAGACCACGACTTAGCCATCTTAAATCCCCAGCCTCTAACACAGAGCCTTGTGGATAGTAAGAGCTCATCAACTGTTGACTGATTAAATAAGTGGCTTTGAGAGTGGACATTGGTGTCTCTTCTCCAGCATCCATTCCTAATTTGGGGATTCATCACAGTCTCCACTTTCAGTTACACATTCTGAGTGGAGCTCCAGTCTTAAGACATCACTCACATGTTCTTCTTTTTATTCCAGTGACTGGTTTAGGAAAGGGCACATGACATACACTTGTCCAGATTTAATATATGAATTTTATGGGAATGCTGGAAAAAATACTCTGGCTTTTTTTTTCTTGTGGATTTGAACATGAAAGTCTCAGTAACTACTGCAAACATCTTGTGATCATGAGGGAGATGTTTGAAAATAGAGTCAATAAAAAGGAAGCAGAGTGAAGAGAATGTGTAGAGAAACTAGATCCTGAAGACACTGAACCCTGTGCACAACTGCACCTTTGGCTGTTCAGTTAACAGAAGCTGATACATTCCGCTTTTTAATTTAAGCCAGTTTCCATCTGATTTTCTTTCATTTGCAACTAAATGACAAAACTTCTGCAAAATGCATTTTAAAATAAATTTAGCAGGGGTGGGTATAGCTCAGTGGTACAGCACATGCTTAGCATGCACTAACTCCTGGATTCAATCCCTCGTACCTCCATTAAAAAAATAAAGTATTAAAAAATAAAACAAATTAATTTTGTCCTGCACTTATGGCCAAAACAGTTCCCAATTGCTGTTTTCTTGTTCAATTAATCAATAAATATATATTAGGCCCTTGTTTCATGGTCAGATGCCACAAAGTTTAGGAAAGTTCTTTGTGCTACAATCTAATTAGAATTCATTGTCTCTGTATTTCCCTCTCTCAAGGACTACATCTCTATTTAACCAGATAAGTTTTGATTTAGGAATGAGCTGGGCCTTCTGGTCTCAGTTCCAAGCCTTCCTCTGTTCCACTCTTTCATGTTACGGCTCTGATTCAGCACACCTCATTTAGCAGCCTCCCCTGCCAGTTGGCTTCCTATTAAGTTCAACAAACGGGAAACCCTAAGGGACTGTGGGGAAGGGGAGAATTTCTTCCTACTTCTAGTTCCTTAATCTGTCGGTAGCAGCAGACAGCAGAAATGTAGACATTACTAATACCTGAGTTTCTTTAGTATCCACTTTTTGCTCTTCCTGCCTTCTAATGTTTTTATAACCATTTCCTTATATTAAATCCACCCAATTTCCTGACTGGACTCTGGCTGGTATAGTATCTGATACTAGGAGTGGTGCTGGGAAACAGCCTCTCTCAACAGGATTCTGGGATTGATTCACTTTGAACTCAAAGCTGAGCTCTTCAGCAATGGAAAATAGGAACTGATACTTTACAGCAGGCAAAGGCATCATGATTTATTAAATTATTCTTCCCTGGTTTGAGTGCCAGTGGGAGCCTGGCTTTTGGAGATCAAGTAACTGCAGCATGTGATCATTATGGTAGTAAAGATCATTGTAAGGAATGTAAGGTGAGGTAGCTGCTTCTGATTGTGCTATGGTGCTCGCAGGAAGAAAATAAGCCCAGAGCTTCTAGTTCAAATCCTCTTCAGAGCGCCAGAGGGTTCCTAAGGCTGCCCTGAGAGTACCTCTTATTCCTTCTACAAATATGACAAACATGTCTAAAATACCAGACCCAAGTCAACTATCTGCAGACTAGCCAATTCTCATATGTCAAAATTCAGGCAGTAATTTGGAAGGAATAGGACTTTGAGACTAGGAATGGAAACATCTGGGTGGAATTCAATGAAGCTGAGAATCTCGAAACCCCCAGGTATCCCTGAGCTTCCCCTGATGTCAGAAGAAGCCTCTCATTTCCTACTTGATGATACCAGCCCTTGAAAACCTAGAATAACCACATATGAGGCAGTTACCTTACATGAGGATCCCTATTCTTTTTAAACATCTTTGCTCCCAACTCTCAAGGCCTTCAGTCTTTTATCTGGAGTCAGATCCCAGTGTATTTAGGGGGAAAAGGTCAGAATCTGGCTCAGAAGGAAAAGGCTTATACTCCAGAAGAATCAGAAGATTTGGTTAAATTTATATTAGAATAAACCTATCTAATATAACAGCAGATCGATTCTAAGGGTATTAGACCAAGGAGAACAGATTATAACATTGGGTTGGGGCCAAATTTAGGTAGCCCTGATATAATACACTTGCCATGATTTTTGGACTTAATGCTATGGTAAATTGTTACAACAGCCTCCAGAGAAACATACCACTCTGGATATCATGCCCTCATGTAATAACCCCTTCCACACTGATTTTTGGCCTGGCTGTCTAGCTTGCTTTGGCTGATGAGACATTAGAAAATGTGATGCAAACAGAAACCTGAAATGCACCTATATGTTGGGGCTTGCCTTTTTGTTTTCTCTGTTTTAGACCAGCTTTCATGTTGAAGAAGCATGGACTCACCTGCTGGAGACACATGGCCCAACTAACAACCAGAACCAACTCCAGGATATGTGAGTGAGGCCAGCTAAGACCAGCATCCTCCAGCCAATCTGTCAAACTGCCAGACTGACTGCAAACACATGAGTGAACTCAGCTTACACCATGTAAAGCAAAAACACCCCAGCTGAGCCTAGCCCAAATTGCTAAACTTCATATCATAAGTGATAAACATAAGCCATGAAATTTTGTTATACAGCAAAAGCTAGCTGAATCAAATGTATTAGTTTAAGCAGGTGGGAGAGGCTCTACTTCCTCAGTTGTTTGGTTGAAACCTGTGCTCAGCAAGAGGCTATATTCAGTAATATTGACTTGATAGACTTTCTCTGGAATAATGCACAGGAAGGATTCTGAAGGCTTAGGGAGATAGAAGTAATACAGTAATTTATCATGTGTAACCTGTGTATCTTTCCTCATCTTAAAAGGGTCCGAGGAATGTTCCCTTCACTAAAGCATTGAGAAATGCATTAGTGAGGGAGCTGCAGCAATCTTGAACACCTCCAGGTAGGTGTTTTCTGGAGGCCAAGGTTGATGGTGGGAAATTCTGCCACTGAGATGGGCTTCCTGATTTCAGTGGAGATGATGGGAACCCAGAGTGGCAATAAGAATTATTTTTACTCACAGGCTTTGGTGGTGGTGGGCTAAGAATTAAAGAGCTGGCTGGCCTACCAGAGCATGACTTGATCTACATGATAGAACTCTGACTTGAAATCTAACTGAGAATCATAGCTTCTTCCCCAATTCCCAGACCCCACTAGTTCACAAATCTGAAGCTCCTGGTTGAAGAGGAAAATTGGACCCCTCGAGAAAGGACCCTGCAACAATGCCGCAAATTCTTACTGTACATCTTCCTCCAAGCCATCCCCAAAGGAACTTGAAGTCATTTACTAAGGTGTCTGTGCACTGGGGGAAATCGGAATACCCAGAATTTTCAGAGATTCCAAAACACTGCTCTGAAATGACACTAGTCTTTAGGAACCCCAAATACCATTGTGGTTCAGTGGCCACAATAGGGGTTTACAGTAGTCAGGCGATAAACAGAGTTTCACCCCAATTCCATCTCTTCTTGGATCTGTGACCCATGCAGCCATTGAAAATGATAATTAGGAAGACTAGTCAGCAACATAGCTATGAACATATGTATAATGACAAGTCTGGAAAAACAACAGAAAATGCCATGTTAACAACAATAGCCAAAATTATGCACATGTCTGGATAAAGAGCAAGTGCTAACAGCAAAAATGAAAATAATTGTGCTTGGGTGATGAGATCATAGGTGATTTTTGTTTGTTTGGTCTTTCTCAATTCCTTAAACTCTCCCAAATGCTATTTTTGCTCTCTTTGTAAAAGGTACTTTTTTTAAAAAAGATTTAGAACTCATTTAGCGCTTTTGTTTTGAGGATTGCCATTACCTAGTTTTTAGCCAATCATACTAAGGTCATAAAAAGTAAGAATGCTAAGTGTAGCCATTCTCTTCAATATTATAGTGAATCTCAGAGCCAATCTTGCATGAGGCATCTATCACACACAAGATGCTGAAAGAATGAAAAAAATCCCACTCTTTCCCTGCCCTCCAGGAACACGTAGCCTAGGGGGAAGAGATAACATGTGCTCAGATCTTCATGATTCAAAACTGAGAAAGATAACTGCTTCAGAAGTACAAAGAAAATACCGCTCTGCCCAAAATAAAGAGAGCTCATATTCAACTGGAGAAAGTAGGAAAATACTCACTAGCAGGCCTGACATCTAAAGGATGGACAGGATTTTGCCAGGGAGAATTGAGGTCCCAGGAAGGAGGTGTTCCGGGTGAAGGGGAGAGTAAAAGGCATACCTGAGGCTCAGTGAGCCCGTTGACTTACCTGGAGGATGTGGCATGTACAGGAAAGCCCAGGGACAGAAAACCCCTTGGCTAGAAATCCTTGGAGCATAGCTCACTGCTTCCTTAGGAGTGGGATTTAGGAGAACTATCCTGCAGACTGGTTAGCCTAACAATGTCCAGATACTACACATTTGGCAAGAAGTAGCGGCTGGCACATAGGGAAATTACCAATCATACTTGATATTTATCATCTATGTACCATGTGCCACACATGATAAGTGCCTGATAAAGGAACACGCTAAATACATTTTCTATACTACAGTCAGCTCCCCCAATATCCACAGGTTCCACATCTAGGGGGTCAACCCACTGAGGATTGAAAATATTAGAAAAAAATTCCAGAAAGTTCCAAAAAGCAAAACTTGAATTTTCCATGTACCAGCAGCAACTATTTATATAGCAGTTTACATTGATTGAGTATTATAAGTAATCTAGAGATGATTTAAAGACTCACAGACATGGAAAACAAACTGATGGTTACCAGGCAGGGAGAAGAGGGTGGGAAGGGGTAAATTGGGAGTTCGAGATTCGCAGATACTAACTACTATATATAAAACAGATAAACAACAAGTTTATACTGTATAGCACAGGGAACTATATTCAATATCTTGTAGTAACTTATGATGAAAAAGAATATGAAAACAAATACATGTATATTCCTATAAGACTGAAGTATTGAGTTGGGTTGGAATCTCTGACGCCAGAGCCTGTCCTCTACCCACCCTCCTCCCAAAGTGCCCGTTTGGAAAAAGTAAGAATGAAATTAATCCTTGACCAGCAAAAGGGATCACATGGTTAATGAAACCAGTAAATTCTCATCTTAAAGTCCCATCGGGTAGGAAATCGTGACATATGGAGGAGTATAATAAGTGTGGCTTCACTGACTTAACTCTTCCCTTCCAGACTAAACAGACAGCCTTAACCAAATTTCTTAATCTCTCTGTGCCCCAGTTTCCTTACTCTTTAAAATGGAGACATAAACAGTGCCTTTTTCAGAGGGTTTTGAGAAAATTGATTTCAATAATATGTATAAAATGCTAAATAACACCGTGAACTTGGGAAGTACTTGGTAAATGTTATGATTATACACTGTAGTGTAGAACATTTCTCACACTAGGACGCACTGCCCAATGGTCTTCTTCCCCAAAGAAGCCTGGATTTCGATACTGGGGCTGAGGACCCCTGTCCCTATTTGGCATTTTAGAAAATAGCTCCAGTGTAGGACCAAAGATGGTGGTATTTTGAAAGAACCTATTGTTTCACTGGGTTCCTAACAGAGGAATATTACCACCCAAGGATTCAGCATGCTAATCGCACATCTGTAGGGAGGTGGGGCCCAGCATAAATGGACTTGCTTCCTCAGGGAGGTCTTGCCTGCCTGCTCTGATCTCCTCAGCATTAGGAAGTGCTGCTCTTTGAGCAGGGACCCCAGACCAACACACGAGACCTGGGAATCAGCCAGAGGACCCTGCCCTTCTGAAGAGGGCATCCAAGTGTTCCTCGAAGGCTTTCAAATCTGTGGGAGCCAACTGGCCTGATGGAATATTAAACTTAGTGACTTGGATGGGCCCTGAGGAAATCACTTAGCCAAACGTAAAACACTTGGAACACTCTGAAGAATAAACAATTGTTTTAGTCTTCAGTGGCTTTCTTTGATTTGTATAGACAGAGACTTGAGAAACTGAGATGTTATGTAATTTGTCTGTTACTTACTTTCACACCCTTTCATTCCTATTAACCTCAAATTCTTCTTAGTCTGAGCACCAGTTAAAGAGTTTGCTTCAGGCCCACTCATCACTTATACTTGATCCTGTATGCATGTGGATAGTTTATGGGTCAACTCATGCCCTGAGCTTCATAGCCCCAACACAACTTAATATGACAAATCTGTTTTTGCTATGTCCATTTACCATCCCCTTTGACACAACCATAGTGGGATCCCACAGGATTTCTATGGTGTCGACCATCAGAGGCCTCAGCTAGCGAGTATCAGCAATGTCACAGACATGGAAACCAGCCCCTGAAAGGTTATGTTTAAAGTCATATAGAGGGCCAGGAAAGGAGCCTTAGTTTGGGGCTCTGATCATCATGGCTACTCATCTGAAATCTTTGCAGAAATAGCATATTAGCATGCCAAAATTTTAAATGTATATCATTGGTTTTTTGAGGTTAAAAAGATAGACTTTTTGAAGGAAGGATGTAGTTAAAAAAATAAAACAAAACACCATTCAAGTAGTGCCACTACAGGCTAAAACAAATGCTTTGTGATTTAGACCTCACAAAAAACACTCAATGGCTTTTCTCCACAATTTGTAGTCGACCACTCTGTGTACTTGAATGCTTAAATACCTAATTAGAACAACTCAGCTGCTTTCGGGATTCCAGTAACTCATAAAACATGTCAGTTATGTCTTGATTTTGTATAAAGCCCTGTGAGCTCACAGTCTCAACAGGCTTTTCCAGTATCCAGAGGAAACCAGAGACAAAAATAATTTTATTGGCAATCAGTCTGTTTCTGTAACTGGAAATGTTCACTTGTCTCTGCTTCTGAAAAATCACTTTGGAAATGTAGGGGTAAATAATCCCCTTTGTTTTCAGTCTGGCAGCAAGAAAGAGTCTCAGGACACTCACTGGGGCCCAGGACTCAGTGTGGTCATTTTCTAAAGTGCAGTAGTGTTTGCTCGGAGCCACAGGCTGCAGAAATGAGAGCCCAGATCAGTGGAGGGGTGGCTGCCTGACTCCCTTAAGCCCACCTTGGCAGGTGCTGCCTAGTCTTAGTCTTGCAGCCTCCAGATTAAAGTGCTGGCTTACACAAAGGCATTTGAAAAGTAAAAACAGTAAGTTCTGCAGGCCAAATGATTCTTGTTCAAAGTCCAGAAGCTTCTTGAGGATGTCCTGTCAGGTCACCTCAGCTTCTGAGACCACAGGTTCAGATCTGGGGAGAAAAGTCCACAAACAAGAAAATCACTATTCTGACTGGAAAATATATAACCTTTCAAAAATCAGATTGGAGTGAGAAATACTTTAGAACAAAAGCTCATCTCTCTGAAGGCAGCATGGTTTAAAACTATTCTCTCCACCCCTTGGACTACTGCCCTCGTCCAAATCTTCAGCCTTTATCTCTAGACCTGTGGCAAGAGCCTTCTCTCCTCTGTTCTGTGGGCTGCAGACAGGTCAGCAATACTTGAGCAAAGTTTACGGGGCTTCCCTATTCAGACCTTTTATAGTTCCCCATTGTGCCAGATATTTCTATTTGTCCCTGCAGACGCATTCTCCACCCTGCTCTGCCCTGTTCGTGTCCCAGGACTGTATCACTGGCCTCTCTTCCCTCTGGCTTCCATTCCATTTGTTCCCTCAGTCTAGAAGAGAAAGCAGATAGCAGTGGGTAGGAGAGTGAGGCTGGGGTATCTGTCCCTCAGCAGCCTCCCGGTCAGGTTGCAGGTCAATTTTATCCCTCTGTTAAAGCCCACAGCTCCAGTGGGCAGACCTTTCCTACTGCTGTTCTCACCAGGGTTCTGGTAACTGCTCCTTCCACTTTCCCTTTCAGGCTGAGGCTTGGTCACTGGTCCCTGCTCTTGCTAGTCCCACGGTGCTTAATATTCCTCACTGGTTCCCCCTAACCCTTATCATGTCTTTATAAATACTAAAAACTTGTAAACTTGTCCTCGTTACCCCTTCTGTATGTGCCCTCAGTCTTCTGCAGAGACCTGACTGAGGCACCCATGCCTGGTGAGTAAAATCTAATTTCCTTTGTCCAGAATTCATGGCTCACAATATGGCCCCCAACAATCTTTCCCCTTATGTCACACCTGCCTCTTTCCAGACTAGGATCACATGCCTTTTCTTCCAGATGCCTCATGTCTTCCAGCCTCTCTACCTTCTCTCCTGTGTATCCTCTATCTAGAATATGCTGCTGTTTCTCTTTCTGCCTGGTTCAAATGTCATCTCCTCCATGAAACTCTTCCTCTTCCCTGATTATCCCCAGCCTAAAAGGATATTTTCTCCCTATCTCTGAACCTTCATGTATTATTTGTACCTCATGTAAAGCCATAGAGAACCATAAAAAACACACAGACTTCTTACATTGCTAAAAATTCATGAACTCAGGTGAGTGAGGCTGTTCATGACTCCTGTGGCCCCGCCCCCTCCCTGGGACAGCTGTGCTCTGTGTGGAAAGGAGGCTGTAGTGGGGTGGGCATTTCTGGGGATTCTGAGGATAGATAAATAAGGTAGGCTTCAGAATAAAGGAATAAACTGAGAGCTATATGATTTTCCAAATATGTTCCAAGAAGCGTAAGGCACCTTAGAGATCTTTGCAGGGACCTATAGAAGGATGTTTATATCCTCCACCCCAGTTCCACCACTGATTTAATGTGAGATAACAGAAATATAGTTCTCTGCCCCTGGTTCCTGGCACAGAGTTCCTAAAACCCTTGTAATTTCCTAAGTGATAAGAGCAGTAGGAGGATCATTTGTTCTAGTATGTGGCCTTTGACTCTGGCTCCTGATATAGAGTTCCTAAATTCCTTGGACTTTCTTGGGTGATTGTAGTGTCTTTTGTTCTAGTGGTGACTCTCACTGGAAAAGACCAAGCCATGATTACAACCTTGAATTTTCAGCTTCACCCCTTATTCTGCAGAGATGCGAAGCGGCCAAAAATGGAGTTAATGATTGATCATGTCTACATGATAAAGCTGCCATTAAAAATCCCAAAAGTATGGGGTTCAAAGAGCTTCTCGATTGGTGAACACACAGAGATGCTGGGAGAGCGGCACATGAAGAAAGCATGGAAGCTCTGTGCCCCTTCCCACATACCTTGCCCTACACATTTCTTCCATCTGGATATTCATCTGTATCCTTTATCACATCCTTTAATAATGAACTGGGAAACCTAAGCAAACTGTTTTCCTGAGTTCTGTGAACAGCTCTAGCAAATTAATTGAACCCAAGGAGGGGGTCATGGGATTCATACCCAATTGATCAGAAACATAGGTGACAACCTGAATTCGTGAATGACATCTGAAGGGCAGGTGAGACTTCTAGGACTGAGCTCTTAAGCTGTGGGATCTCATGCTATCACCAGGTATGTAGTATGAAAACTGAGTTAAATGGTATACACTCACCTGGTGATGCAGAGAATTGCTTGGTGTGGGGAAACCTACCACACATCTAGAGTCAGATGTGTCTGAGTGTGATAGTAGTGTGAGCGTGAAGAGGAACAGGGGAGGAAGACTGAAATTTTTCCTACTCAGTATATATAGGTGTTCTAATATTTCCTTTTTAAAGGATTATAATTGCAAAAAAGAAAAAAAAAGATTGAAAACCACTGGAACAGGAAAGGGGAAAGGAGACACCTACATGGTGCCATGATGGAACACAAAGTCTGTGGTCAGTACTCAGGTGAAAGTCATTAGGGGGAAGACAAGAGACTCAAGCAAAATATAAACAAAAAACATAGAGACTGGATTCATTGTTAGGAAGTATATAGAAAACCAGCCTCTTTTATTTTAATTTTAACTCAATTATGCCAATGAGAACAGATTTTTGAGTGCTTTATCTCCAATAGTTCATCGTAAGGCTCTTGGATGACTAATGTTGTGCTTAATTCACCCTTATAATTCTTACACAGCCTACCTGACACAGACTCTTGCAAATAGCAGACAGTTAATATATGTTTGAGAGTGAATGAATGAATTAATAATGTTAGACTGAGAATCACAAGATCTCTTTTTTAGTCATAATTTCTTTCAAGAAAGTCACTTAACATACCTCAGCCACAATCTTACCATCTCTAAAATGGAGAACTCAGGCTATGTGGTCTGGAAACTCTAACAAGCTATGGCTTGATGATTAGAATAACTTTTTTTTTAAAGGAAGCACAATACTTATCTATAGTATTAGAATCCACTCCTAAAGTTACACTGGTTGATAACTGGATTGCCTGCATAACAGCAAGAAGCCATGGGTCAAACAGTAGCACAACTGAGTAAAGTTAGCTGCAAGAAAAACTTCCACAAACAGAAAGGGCAGCATGCTGTAGACACAGACTCAGGCAGCTGGACTTTAACTCCAATTCCATCACTTACTTATAAGGTGACCTTGTGCAAGTCACCTCATCTCTTACGTCCTTGGAGTATCTATCCATCCCCTCTATGTTGGTTGGGCTAGGAATCTTTGAAAGGCAACTAAGACATTGGTATGTGTCCTTGAAAGGGGTTTAGAGCATTTCCCTCCTTAAAGTTGATGAGGACCCAATGAAGAGTCCTATAATGCTTTCAACTATTGAAATATAGAGAGATGAGTGAGGGGTGGTTAAAAGGGCTTTAGAAAACATTGCTCTTTATCTAACAAGCATTCCTGGGTACTTAAAAGTGATACACTAGAACATCTTAAAAGGTATTAAAACACAAAGAAAATTCAGGAAGCACACAAAAAAGAAAACAATACAAGGTTCCATAACATAAAGACAATGATTATGGACATTTTAATGTTTTTACTTCACTGTTTTGGGAGAGAGGGGGTATGGTATGTATATTAAAAACATTTTAAAATAGAGCATTAATTATATGGTAAATGCATTTTTATAGCTTACCTTTTTTTCTTTTTTTATATAGAAAGCATTTTTTTCATATTATTATTCCTCAGAAACAGAATTTAAATGGTAACATAAGATCTATTATTTCCCTGTTGTATCAGTCAGGCTAGATTAGATTATGCTGCAGTAATAAACAACTCTTAAATCTCAATATAGCAAAGGTTTATTCTTGCTCATGTTTGATGTCCATTGAGGATCAACAGGGGGCCCTGTTATTTGTAGTTACTCAGAAACCCAGGCTGATGCAGCAATTGCTACATTGAATGTTGCAGATGGAAAAAGAAAGTATAAGGCAAAGCACATGCTAGCTACTGTATCTTCTACCCAGAAGGAATACACATCACTTACTTTTACATTTAGTTGACCAAGTCAAGTCACATGACTATACCTAACTACAAATTAATTGCAGTTCTCTGCAATCCTATTACGTACACAAAAGCAAGAGACCCCTGAAATATGTGAAATAACACAGGAATGAGCTTTCTTTTTGGGAATATTGAGTTTGATCTGAGTCTTTAGTTTTATAATGTTAAGGTTAAGGCCTTGAAGGTCCATCCTGGGTGATTAAGAACTCTGGATTTTCACAAGAAGAACAGGCAACAGCTTTTCCAGACTTTCCTAGAAAGTTAGGGGCAGAGCGATGGAGTGGAAAACCCAGCTGTGAGCAGCTATTACTTGAGATATTGAACCCTGCTGGACACTCCCACAAAAATCAGGTCTCGTTTCAGTCGCTGGTGAGTGTAGAAAAATCCAGCAAGCCCTTCTCTTCTTAAGTGGGAAACGAGAATATTTATCTGAGTACAAAATCTTGTCAGAAGTACATGCAATGGGTATGCTCAGAGCAAGTCCCAAGACTTCACTTCCCAAGGTGATGCTGAGTAAGAACATGAGGGCCCAGATGGCCCCTGGAAAGCCCAGAATCTAACCTGTCCCTACACGGGTGGTTTTTGGGGGTGAGGCAGAGCTGGGGTGGCAGACCATGTGTGTGGGAGAGTGAGAGCCCTGAGCTGGCTGGGCCTACGCACTGTCCTCAGACATCATGAAGCTGAAGTTGGAGTGGGGGTCGCATTAGATCATTTAGTACAGGAAGAAGTACAGAAAAAGTACGGAAGAAGGCTGTGGGAGAACGCACAAAGCTTGGAAGAACCTCTAGGTCGGAGGTCAGCAAACTTTTTTTCTAAAGGGCCAGACTGCAAAAAATTTAGACTTTATGGGCTGTGTGGCTTCTGTTGAAATCACTCAACTCTGCCATGAGAAGCCGAGGAAGGGGTGTGAACGTTGTCACAATATGAAAACAATGAGTGTCCCTAAGTCTCAATAAAACTTTTGTTTACAAAAAC